ATTAAGATGAAATTTAAATGTACAGTATGTTGACAGTAAAGTAGAATTACTAACATCTTGATGCCAATGTTGCCTATACATGTCTAAGACACGTTTTTTAAATTCTAACATAAATGATTTACTATTTCCAACTTCTTGACAAATCCATACAAGCCCGAAACCATGAGAAAATAATATAATTCTAACTGCTGATGCCAAGTTTATGTAGCCTATATCATCAGGTTGCCTCATGGGTAAATAACAATGTTTAACATATCTATTACAAGTCATACCGAGTATCCTTAACAAAAAGCTTATAACTCTTTGCTGTTGATGAATAAACAAGGGATGGCGTCCACATTCGCCCAATGTCGCCAAGTTGCTTGTGCGGTAGCAAACTCTTAAAATAAATTTACACACTTTTGTGTGGATAATTTCTAAAAGTTTTCTTTCCTTTGTACCCCAAATTTCCGAACCGTACATTAAAATTGGCTGAATTGTTCTATCAAAAATATCAAAACAGGTATTAACATCCAAATTTTCATATCTACAATCATTCTTTTTACAGGAACTAAAGCTTTTTCTGCCCGTTTGGCCAAATGTTTACAAGCAACTGTAAACATGTTTCTACATGGAAATATAATGCCCAAGTATTTATAGTAAGAAACAACCTCTATAGATTTACCTGCATATACCCACTTTTCAATTTTTGATAATTTTCCTCCTTTTTTAAACACCATTATTTTGGTTTTGTCTAGATTTACTGTCAAACCCCACTTTTCACAGTATTCTTCGAAAATATCTATCTTTCTCTGGAGGTTGTTTACTGTATCGCCAAACATAATGACATCATCAGCAAATAAAAGCAGACAAATTTCTTCAATATCACTATCTAAAGAAATACCTCGATGGTCCGCTTGGACAGTAGTTGCAGCTAACTCTTCAAATTACATTAAAAACAAAATTGGTGACTACATACATCCTTGTCTAACCCCTCGAGAAGATGAAACCATTTCTGTAAACTGACATGGTGTACATCTCACACATGCTTTCATATTACAATAAATACTTTCTAACAATTTATATATTTTACCATGAATTCCTTTTCTAAGTAACTGAAAGAGAAGCTTGCTTCTATCGACATAATCAAAAGCCTTTTTAAAGTACAGTTTCCCTTGTTTTTTTCTAAGATACTTATAAGCTAATGTATTTAAAATAAACATGTTGTCAACAGTGGAATACCCATCTCTGACGCCAGCTTGTGCTTCCGACACTGCAGAGTGTAGTTCTAACCAAAATTTCAATCTTGTATTAATAATTGAGGTAAACACTTTACATATCAAGCAAGGTAATCCCTCTATAATTATCCGGGTCTTCATTACTGCCATGTTTAAATAATGGTATAATTACGCCTTCATTCCAAGCATCAGGGAACTGACCTGTTGTGAGAATGTTATTAAACAACACCACCAAATATGAAGATAGAATTTCAGTCCAGGAGATTTACCATTTTTAAATATTTTCATAGATCTTTTTATTTCCTCTTCAGTTATCGACTCTATAACTGAAGAGGAAATAAAAAGATCTATTAAAAAGTTTAAAGTCGCCAAGAATATCGTCACTTTCTGCACAATCCTCACATACCAATGCATTATGGTCTGCTACTCTTGTACATGTTTGTTAAAAGAGTTCCCTAAGTCAACGTCAGGATTTAACAGAGTTTTGAAGTAACTGTACCAATTGTCTGCAGATATGACACAGTCGGTTGATTTTTTCCCACTCCATAAAGATTTCAACAGTCTCCAAGAAACTGTACAGTCTTTGCTTTCAGCAGCCTCCGTTACGTCATTTACCACTTTGCGATCATATTCTTTCTTCTTTTCTTCAAATTGCCTGAAAATAATGTTTACTTTCAATGTACTTCTTGCTATCGTCAACACAATCAGATTTTCTAAAAATATTTAAGAGTTTATATTTGTCCTGCTTCAGATGGCGACATTCCTGGTCGAACCACTTTGGCTGAACTGAGCGACTGCGATTATGTTTATTAAAGTCTATCTTACGTTTAAAGTCTAAGTCACTGAAACAAGAAACAAATGACATTATAATGATATCATTTTGGTGGACTATCCCGACAAACACATGTTTCTTGCGGGTGATCTAATTGCTTGAATGAAAGATTTTCTAGATTTAATCCCCGAGGACACTACTGGCTTTATTGGTAAGGGATATTTTGACCTGCCAGGAACATGCAGAGATAACTTTGTCCGCTATGAGTATGGCAAGAAATGTCCTGAACAAAGTTTATGTTATAGACTCCTCTTCACTCATATCTGAAACTTTGGTATATGTATTTAATAATAACGGCTATTCATAAAGTACCTGTTTCCACGCACTTGTGCATGCTCAAAGCGTTATCGCATTATTACCCCGGATAACCCAAGCTGCTTCTGTGGCGCTAGAGGGTTAACAGTCATATGCCTTATCTCACCGGGTACCCATTTATTGCTGGGTGAACAGCGGCAATTCATAAACAGACTCACGGAGAGGGAGACCACATGTGTCACTGTGTGCTCCGTCTAGGGCCGACTTAAGTCAAGCTGCCAAACCCGGCCACCCTTTCAAGGACTGTCCGCGACCATCGTTGCTTAAGTTCAACTAATTGCTGACCTGGGCTTCTTGCACAGGACAAGACATCACCACATTTCAAAACTCTTTGAATGTAGAAGAACTTGGAGACATACAGTATTCAAAGGTCAGTAGCATCAGATTGGCCATGAACCACCTCCTTCTGGCATTAAAATCTAGGCAATTCATTATATCAATGATTCGCGAATTTCACTGCATGTCAAACAATTGATTAAGAAAAAGCACATGTGTGCATACATAATGTCATGCATATAGCTTGGCGTGATCAGTCGATTGATTGGATCTGGCTCATCCTACCAGTCTTTCAGGTTGGGGAAGAGCTTTCAGTGTAACCCAGCACTCTGCACTCTACGGGTATTAAGTGAGGCAAGTGACCTGAAACATAACTTGGTGTAGTTATTCCCCATATACTGCTGCATATACGCAAACAGGACACCGTGCTTTTTTCTAAATATATGTCGACCATCCCCATCTTTCCATGAAACACTGAATATTGTTTGTTAATCTATAGTTGCAGCTGTCTTTCGATCGTATGCATGTTCTTACTACGTCAGGAAGTATTGAAATCATCCAGAAAAAGCGATCCATCAAAACCTCAGTGGCCCTATGAACGCTCAATCTAAGACGTTTGGCAGATAGAATGCTGCCTTGAGAGACGCCCTGATCTCTTGACTGAAATGGTTTCCTGTTTGAGACAAAATCCTAAAGTATCAGCACTCCTGATTCTTTAGGGTTTCGGGAGATGATCGTAAACTGACAAAAACTGTTCAAACTATACTGATGAGCAAAAGAAACTTTCTCTTGCGAATGTTTTCATAATATTAGCATAAGAAAATATAATCTAATGCAAATTGCCCCATTGTTCTTGCCCCCCCAAAAGGGTTCGATTCTGACCAACATCAGCCCTCAAACGCACCTCTTGACAACTTTGCATCGAAAACAGCAAAATGCACGTGTTTCGCAAGTAAGGGTAAAATGCACGTGCATGCATGGTATTAAACCACCTCACAGCACAGAGTACATCGTACTTCAGCAGAAAACCACGTTACAATGCCTAGGTTAACTTCAGCAGAGCGAGAGAGGGCCATCGGAATGCTGCAAATGGGCGCTACATCGGGTCACGTTGCAGGAACCTTCAATTGCTCCGTCGTGACCGCCAGGAACCTTCGTCCGCGCTGCCAACAGACTGGTCAGACCTCAGACAGGCCCCATACAGGCAGACCCCGGGTGACAACTACGCAGGAAGTGAGCCACCTGAAGACGTCACACCTTAGAAACAGCTTCCTGGCGGTAACGCCATCAGCGGTCCAGCACTCGGTCACCCAGTGAGTCGAACGATAGTGTCAAGGAGACTACGGGCCTATGGTATCAGGGCCTACCGACCGTACCGAGGAACGCTGCTGACAGACAGACATGGTCGCTCGAGTTGTCCAGAACTTCTTTCACGCCAACAACGTCAACGTCCTGCCATGGCCTGCACGCTCTCCTGACATGTCGCCAATCGAACACGTGTGAGACCGACCACCTTGATAGAGTTATTCAGCGGAGACAGAATCCACCAGTTGCAGTACAGCAAATGCTGTGGCACTGTCTGAAACAGAACTAGTGACGTTGTGCAATTTGTATTGTAATTGTAACGGGTAGAAGCGTTTGTTGTTTTATTATCATACAATCCTTTCAAAAAGACCCGGATAACCTTTGCTATAAATACAGCTCTCAAAAACTGACACCGACTCTCCTATTTGCATTCACCCTAACGCTGAGACGTGAATAGTTGCGTTCATCACATCTAATAAATCAAATGAACGTATAGGAATTACGTCTGTGATATAACTGGCATACTTACCTTCAATGTTAGTAATATATTGAAAATATTATCTGCGCCCTCCTCTTAATACAGACACAGGTTACGCAGGCTTGTTGCTTGTCTTTCAAGGAATAACATATCACGATCTCACTGACAGTTCCTCAGAAAATATGTGGAATGAAATGTCCAGATTAATCACAAAATTAAAACATTGACTAAGCTTACATATATTAAATCCATTTGGAATTAGTCGAAGTTGATAATATACTTGTCACATGGGTTGATTATGAAGACGTCACATGTATATCCATAACTATAATGACTGCAATTAGTTCCTGTCGAGATACACGTATACAACCTTAGGGGTTTACGTGGGGTTTAGGGTTAAGAATGGCTCATGTTAGAAGCTCTAAACATGACAAATCTCAAAACATATCTGGGTCGTAAACAGGGACAATGCGACTTTCAATGTCTAGGTTTGAACTGCAGCTTGTATGGATGCGGTTGTAACATAAATGTAGTCTCGTATGTGTTTGGGTCGGATGAAGGGAACGGCTCCGACGGATCACGAAGCTAAGTCGAAGTTTTGCAGGATCGACGTTAGTCCAAGAAATATCCTTACTCGGGCCAGCTTCTCACCGATACAAGAACGCTTTCCGACACCAAACGTCAACAGCCTGCAAAAGTAATACAAATTATGTGCATTTTATACTGCCTACAAAATGTAATGATTTGAATGTACTTGTGATTGAGGTATATATTTATAGTCCCATGCCGTTGTATCCGATCAGAAACATCTAATCACAATGAACGTTTATATTATGTAAGAACAGCACGTGATACACCCATCAGTCAATGTGTGCGCTTTAAAAGGGTATTCATAATCGTAATGCAAACGAACTAAGCAAACGCTTAAGCCTGTCTCCAAGATAGTCTCCCCATGATCAGTAAAAATAGCAAAGTGTTGGTACAATTTGTTTTGAGGGTATCCCAAGTTGTCCGAATAATTGCAAATTAAACAGTGTAATTTCTCGATGGTAGCCTGTATAATGACATCTCTACAATATGAGTAATATATATTATGCCACCGATGACAATGCCTGAACACATCGTGCCAAAGGGTGTCACCGATTTTGTTCGACGGGAAGCTCCCAATAAATCTTCTGACACATCTTCAATACTGCATTTTCTCGGAGGAAAAGAATGTACGCCAGATACACCAACACCGACTAGCAGGTATGGCATGATGAAGCTTTTTAGGAGGCAAAACCAAGGATAACCAAACGCAAGGTATTCAACAGCTATGAAAGGATAGTTAGGTTTTATTTCACAAGTATGTATTCAACCTATGGGACCTGTTTGTGTATAAGCTTTCTTTCTCCCTGCTGAAAATCCTAAATTGGACTGTATGCAGGCTGACTTATGCAGGTTTACCTCTGACGCTTTTCATCCTCCGGTGGCAGAAGGTCGCCATTATCATCCAAGAATCTGGTTGGATCAAACGTGAAGGGATTCTCCCAAAATGATTCGTCGTGGTGTACACGCCATACGTTGTAAATAACCTTCATAAAAGAAAGATTCTAGTCATTGTTAACAATGCATTATGTCCTAATGTCAGAGAATACAAGTGTACTACAAAACCCTTGGATAACGTTATGACGACAGATAACTTTTCAATGAATCTGTTCTGTTAATAAAGTGAGGGATGTTCAATATACAGTTGTTACATCTATTGATAGTCTATATCTTTAATGATATAAATAGTTTTACAGTGTAACAAGGAAGTCAGATTAGTCGTTGAACGTCAGATAGATTTCGTTAGATGATTGGCTCACTATCCTTCATGTCCTTTACCATGGAAAGTAATACTCATGAATCGGCCTCTGTCCTACATAGACATTCGAAGATTTGACAAGAATTTCTAATCAAACGTCCAATATCATTTGGGTTTATTTTGTTTCATTGTTTTCCTAGTAAACTGAGTACAGATCAGAGAATACATAAAATGGATTGAATGAGTGAGTTCAATTATTAACGTCACCTCGGCCATTTAGTGACGAGAAAGATTTTCCATACACAATAAATATAAGTTGTTAAATAACCAGTCATCGAAGGACTGTAAAATAACGAGAGTATCACAGATGGTGTTTGAAACTAGCATGTTAATCTAAAATTATTTTATTTACGAAGAAAATACAATATGAAAAAATCAGGCTAAAGGTGACCAGCAACTGAAAGAAGGTCACCATACTAGGGTCCATGGGGACGTAGAGTGCTTTTGCTACCTGCATGGACTCAGCTGGATTTACAACATCCCTCCAGCCGCTGGCGATTGTGGTGGAAAATTCAAATTAACAAAAATACTACTTTTAAAAATCTGGTAAGTTCAAATTTTACTTTGAAAGTTTTGGGACTTACGTACCCTCTCAGGGGTGCATAAAATGGAACCCATATACTATCACATGAGATATATTTAGTAATCGAAATGGTGTTTAGTTTAAGAATATTGTAAAATATCATTCCTGTAATTATTACCTCCTAAATAGCTGCAATAGCTGCAATGAATCTGTAAAAATGGTTGTTGCATGATCATTCATCTATGTGCTATTAGAATGGATTCAAGTGTACACTGTAGAAATAACTGGCAATGACTTCAACAATAATTTCGAGGGGAACAACCTAGCATTACTTATATTTGAACTGTGTACAGAGCAGTTGCATGAACCACAAGGGACAGTATTTGGTACAGAAGGTGGTTTCAGTATTCTTGTAGGAAGATCTGCCGGTGTCTTGTTTACTGATAAAGAAACATTGCTTGGCAATTTTAGCAGCATAAGACACTTTCTTTTTTACTCTGAATCGTTTTGACACGTTCAGGAAGATATGGTGCTGGTAATGTTAACAAAAAAAGAAGTGATAATGTTTTCACCTTGATAGCAGTAAACGCTTAAGCTCTGTGACCTTTTGACCATTGAGATGTTCAGCTATTTCTTCGTGAACATTTTAAATCACTCCCTTTCTTAGTGAACATTTTTAAATATCCCTTGCTTTGTTTAAGATTCTTTGGGACACTACCTTGACAAGAATGTAACAAACTGACGTAAATCCAAGGCACCCTTAACTGATAAATGATCACCAGGTCATTTTTTTCTCTATTATTTTCACTAACTAATCATCATGTATAGATTAGTGAATGACACGATCCAAAGAGAGTGGACCCAATCTTTTGAGGCTAGGTCTGGGGTCAACCGGTGAAAATATAACAAGAAGAAGACAAAGTCATCAATATCCCCCGCAATGGCAAAATACTCTTCATGATTATGTCTACGAGTTTTGATTATGTCAAATATTTAGGTGTGTATAAAGAAAAGTGGAAGGAGAGTATTGAAAGGTTTTTAAAGTTCTGCTCCAGAAAGGAGCACTGACACCAATTTCAGTCTATGTCAAACTTGTTGCCATGGAAATGCCAATAATATTTTATTCAGAAATCCAAAACTACCAAAAGGCACCAGTACACCACCAGATCTATGTATGTGCCAAGTTTGGTGAAGAAACATTGAACGGTTTTAAGAGTTCTGCTCCAGAAAAGTGCACTACTACTAATTTCTGTTTTAGTCAAACTTGTTGCCATGGAAACGCCAAAATATTTTATTCAGAATTCCTAAACTATCAAAAAGGAACCAGTACACCACGACACCAATCTATGTGCCAAGTTTGGTGAAGAAATAGTGAACGGTTTTAGACTTCAGCTCTGGAAAAGAGCACTACCACCAATTTCATTCTAAGTCAAACTTGTTGCCATGGAAATGGCAAAAATATTTTATTCAGAATTCCAAAACTACCAAAAGGCACCAGTACACCACCAGATCTATCTATGTGCCAAGTTTGGTGAAGAAATAGTGAACGGTTTTAGAGTTCAGCTCCGGAAAAGAGCACTACCACCAATTTCAGGCTAAGTCAAACTTGTTGCCATGGAAATGGCAAAAATATTTTATTCAGAATTCCAAAACTACCAAAAAGGCACCAGTACACCACCAGATCTATCTATGTGCCAAGTTTGGTGAAGAAATAGTGAACGGTTTTAGAGTTCTGCTCCGGAAAAGACAAATGTGCACGGAAGGACGGACGGAGGGACGCACGGACGGAGTCCATTTTAATACCCCCCGCAAAACGCGTTGCGGGGGATAACAAGTTTCATTGGCACATCAGATACTGCAAATCATTCTGAGACACGTCATGGTGTTTACGCTTTTTCGATACCAGTCTGATATAATTATCCATCACATTCTGCATGAGGTTGTTGCCTCGAATGTGTTTACGATATCATCATATCACTGGCCGTCAATATCACCAGCCACATCGACGTCAGCCAAGACATAGTCAGCGAACACTCAGTATTCCGACGCGGGGTGAGAATCCGTGGCTCAGCACTTTACCATATGAAATAAGAAACATATGGCAAAAATGTTCAGCTAACCATATGCTAAACTTACTTTGATGATATTATTAGTATATGTCATTCCAAAGCATTAAAATGTAACAGTAGCTATCCCAATATGTGCCATAACAGCGAGAGTGAGAGTCAATACATCTCGACTGAGTGTTGGCCATGGTAATGTTCTCCTGCTTGAGGGAGTCGGTAACAATACGCGTGTGCTCCTGCGTTTTCATCCTGAAGCACAAAACAACGTCCATGTTAGCGCGTCGATGGCACAACGTGTGCCTCAAAAATGTTGTTACGGTAGTACTACCCAGTGAAACGTCCGTGAATAACAAATAACATGAGATTCCACCCCTCACCGTTACTGAACCACCCGCAAAACGATCGTTCTGTCTAACCTTAACGGCATGAAAACGCTCATCCCTGTCAATCTGTCATTGAAGAACAAAGTCAACCTCAGTTCATCTAAAAACATATTAACGTTTGCCCCAAAACGTTTGGTCCAGCGCTGCAGCTCTTGACACCAACGGCGTCTTGCAGGAGCCGGTCTGTCAATCGTGGGATTACAGGTCGATGTCGGGCAAGCTGATTCCTTCTGTACTACTGATTACGAATCGTGTGTCTACAGACGTTAACATCTATAACGTTGTAAAGCTCATCTCAAATCTGACATTTGCACTTTGACCACGTTTACTGCTCGTTCTGATGAAAGGTCTTGTGCGCCAGTTGTTGCCCTTGGTCGACAAGCTCGTCGTTTGTCATCAACGTCGTTTGTCTGTTGATATCGTGATTGTCTGCTTGTCTATGAAGGTTAAGAGCTCATGTCAACATCAACATGCAAATTGCACGTAGCTGTTACATGTGTGACAGACGCCGCATGTAAAAGAAAACATGTTTAATTGAGTTTAAAACAATATCAAAACTGGCTATTCTCGTATCACTGTAATGTACAGCAACACACTAACAGGTGTCAACTGTACTTTTCAAATTTTACCAAGACCATATTCACGTCAAATCATGAAAAACGCTTGCAAGATATGGACGTGTCCGTAAAATTCCCAACACATCAGGAATGAAAGTATCATTTTCTAAATCCATATACAATCATACATCTTGGCTCCAAAATGACATCACACAAAAATGCAAGAGCTGCTACTTTCTTTCAAAAGTATTAAGCGGATATGTTGCCCTTCAGTACTTCAAACACGTACCTTTGTGCCCTTTGGGATGCTGTAACCTTTATAGCTGCAGTCCTGGGTAGTGTTCCTTGGTCCAGCTGCACCGATTGGAGTATAGTAGCGATATAATTCTAATTCCACTGCCCTGCTGTAGGGCATTTTGTTCCGGTCCTCCAAACCAGGAAGTCGGTCCTTTCCAACCACCCTCTGGATCTCCTCCTGGATCTTCTTCTGGACCTCAGGAAAGTTTACCATTGCAGCTAGGGCAGTGTACATGGTTGGTTTTGTTGTGATAACACCTATCCACATAATAGAAAATAGTGATTTAATTTGGGACCTGGCATCTGTGAAGTGATTATTATTTACCTTTCTTGGGAAAATAACAGGAAAAATACAAAACTATGTCTTGTACAGACAGAGATGTGTGACTCAGAAGGTCGTCATACTACATCGTTTTTTTTTTACAGTATTACCTGCAAGCACCGAATCCACCAGAACACCTTTGCTATTTTTCGTTGATATCGATCCTCCGCATGCTCTTGTAAAAGCAAGGTGTAGAGACAGTTGGGCGTCGTGCCCTTGGATTCCTTCAAAATTATATTCAATCTGTTACACCTCATTTGCAATCAGAGTTGCCTGCTTTCCTTATTAAACTACAATATTCGTGACATTTGTTAGCAAAGTACACACAGTACCATTAGTTCTACAGCGTCATATCAGACGTGTTTTACTTAACATTAATTCAACATTTCTGAGTATTGGTTTGTATACATTACCTGTATTATTTTGTCAACAGTTTCGGTAAAATAGTGGTAACCATCCTTCATGGACTGACAAGCGTTTCTGATTTGCGGTATCAGCGTCACACTCAACGGGACATTGTCAATTAGAAACTGGTTCTTGTGGAGTAAAAGGACATCAAAGGCATCTGGGTTTTTCTGGCACAAATCTCCAGTGTCTTATGGCCAGGTTGAAATCTTTGCCCACAAACCTGAAATGAAATATACTAGCTGTGAATTGACACACGTGAGTGTGTGAGGGAGTGATGAGTGAGTATTTAGAGTCACATCGGCAATATTTCAGCCACACTGTGACTAAACATGATATATATTAATAATAAATACGTTTATTCCTTACAACCTGTCACAGCGGCAGTTTTTCAGCGATATCAAGATATATTAATAATAATTATAGGTAAAAGTATAAAAAGTCCATGTCAACGAAGGACAGTATAAAACTGGCATGTAAATAAACAAATATACTATAATGCAGGACAACACAAAATAAATAACGGGCAATAGATCACCAGCAACTGAAGTGAGTGAGTTAATAGTTAACGTCACATCGGCAATATTTCAGACATATCGTGACGAGAACATTTTACATTGAAATGGAATATGTGTATATTATAAAACCTATCATCGAAGAACAGTAAAACAACTAGAATATCACAATTAGATTTAAAACTAGTGTGGAAGGTTAAAACTAATAGCACTATTAGGACAATACAAGATAAAAACAGGCTATATATCGCCAACAACTGAAGGTAGACCACCACACTAGGGATCATAATGATCACACAGGATTTCCTGTCAGTTAAAAACTTGGATATGAACTCAGGGCATACGGCCTCGTAATCCAAAATCATGTAAATCGTTTAAAATCTTCGATTTTTCGAAATACACACTGAATATTAGTTATTAAATTATTTGATTCAAGTACCATGTTAGTCTACCATTGACCATGCGTTTCATGGTGTTGCTTGTTAAGGATACTGGTCTGTAATTCGAAGGATCAGTATGATCCCAACCAGATTTTGAGTATTGGAACAACAATTGCTTCACGCCATGATGGTGGAAAGTGTCCAGATGTCCAGATATCATCAAATATGAATAGAAGACTTTCGAAATATGGTTCTGATAAGTGTTTCAGGAGCAGATAGTGGATGTTATCAGAACCTGTAGCAGTATCATGAGCTTGCCCAAGGGCAGCATGGAGCTCATGAACAGTAATTATTTTGTTGTAATCTTACCCATTTTCTGAATTGAAAATAATAGCTTTTCTTTTCCTGTTCTTTTTTTAAAATATATTTGGAATTGAGGTACATAATTTTGAAGAGGAATAATGTTTAGTGAAATTTTCACCAAGTTTGTTAGCAATATCCGATTTATAAGTCAATAATTTGTTGTCGTCTTTGAGATTTAGAATGCCATCGAGTGTCAACAAGGACGAAGTTACAGCGGAAGTAAATAAAGACATGAATAGCTATGATATCCAAAAGAACACGTGCCAGACTGGTTCGGCTCATGACCCATTTCTCCAGAAACACAGAATTCAGGGGTCGATACCACCAGATTGGCCCATGAGCCATCGCCTTATGCCATGGGTCTCTAGGCAAATAGTATACTGGCTATAGAATAAGCACAATATTCAGTGTCAACATACAATTTAAGCATAATAATGTCAACATCAACATTTCCATGCTCAGGGCATGGCGTGGCCAGCCGATTGATAGAATCTACCACCCGTCTAGGTTAAGTAAGGGTCGAAGTGGTGTGTTGGGCAAACGGAACATGGTTCCAGTCTCCTACTGCCCTCCCGCCCTCCACCGACATAGGGGCGCAACCTACGGCAAACAGGTTGCCCAATTTGGTCGCCTTTTACGACCAGCAATGGGGTGCTGAGGACCTATTCTGCCAACACGGGGGAAAAAGCTATTAGCGTTACCCAGAACACACCACGAGGAGGCTGCTCACCACGTGTGCCTATAGTGTGAATTGACACGGGTCAATGTTACGGTCATTTATGTAAAGATATGTTGCTGAAGTGACGCCAGCTTTGCAGCACATTGACACACAATCCGTTATTAGTATCAACAAGTAAAAGAGACAATGCTTCCTATCTATTATTGAAGATATTTCAGAAGAAGGCAAGAACTTACCAAAACCAAGATCACGTTGCAGACATATTGATTCAGGTCATCCCACGGGTCAAAAGAGACTCCATTTCGTTCTCTGCACCTGTTGATCATTTCTTGTATTTCAGTTTGGGCAAGATGCTCAACGTTTTTCAGTGCAGTTCCATATTGTTTTATTCCTCGAAAGGTAAGTTTTCTCAGGTATTGCTGTTTGTCACTAGCCGTCTGGAACATCAAATCATCCGGAAGCAAATACTCGCTAAAGCATGAATTAACCCGTCCACTGAAGATGTCAGCATATGCAGGAGATAAAAGGAGATCTCTGATGGTGTGGAACTGGTCCAGAATGAGTGCTGGCGTCATTAGGAAATGGATCGTGAATATGCCGTCGTATGTCGAACCCAATCGCGTTAGATCGTTGATCAGTGTAGCTTCCTTTATGTCTAAGAAATTGCCCAGTATTGGTAGTGGTTTTGGACCTGGAGGCATCTTGCTATACTTCCGTTTCCACTGATAAATGTTGTCGATAAACAGCACAACGGCTGCACCCAGTATAATCTCAGTCAACATCCTGTTACAACGTCACAGAATGGACACAGATGTCTAAAACAGAAAGAGGAAATATATCCATGACGGACATATATGTTTCCGAAAACATGACAACTAAAAATGAACTAATTCCACCATCAATGCACATAACCTGCTTATGGAGCTGGCAAGAGACATTCCAGTTTTGAAACTACAACGCACAGCAAATGTCCAAACATGTTGACCCTGATAGCATGAAAATATAATCAGTAAAACGTTTCACAGAACCGCTTGTTTCAGACGTTAGGAGGCTTGTTTAAAATATCAAACATTATACGGTCGGTGATCAGTCATTTTTCCATGAGATAAATAACACATTGTATGACAATTTGACTGTTGGGAATCATATATATACATATACAATACACACAAATAGTAACCTGTCCTTGTCTTCGTTTGTGACGACCAGCAAGAATAAACGTCGTAAAATAGCTTTGTGCTGCGATGTTTGGTCAAGGTTGATGCAGATTGTGGGACGTTATGTGTTAACACGACTGCAGTGTGACCCTATTTATTACCGCAGGGGTGGTTGGAGGACTGTAACGTAATTCTGACAGCGGCTGGTAATGTTATCTTGAATTAATGTTCTTAAAGTTGCACTGCAGTACTATTTGAGCTATAAAATGTCTTGTTGACAAAAAATGCCTAGCAACTATAAATATAGCACATTTTTCTTTAAAAGTAGTTTTCAATTATTTTTTGATACGGCTAAGACACATTACACAATTTATAACAGAACTACGGTATCACTCCCATATTCATTTCAAATTACATAATTAAAAGGCAGGAGACATTAGTAAAAGATCATTTAAACGTCAAACTTTTAAGTAGCTATCCTTTAAGTGACTGAGATATCCACACAGTCAAAGAAATACATGTCTGACTGATTCTCTCTTCACAGAAGAGGA